ACAGAACCCACCTGGAGAGCATGCGCTGCTGGTCAGCAAATTGTGAAGGAATTCAGTATCCTTCAGAGCAAGAAATTATCCTGGAGTGGAAGTAATGACTCTGGCAGCCTTACAGGTACAAAAAAAAAAATCAACCCAAAATATAAAGGGTGGGTAAGGCTGGAGATTTATCTGGAGCACTAAAAGCCTGCAAGGAGGTAACACCTCCATCTGGATAACTTTAACTGTGGCTTTTCCTTCTACGTGAAGGTGACCTGGCAGCAGCATCCAAAAGAGCTGAAAGGAAAAAAAAAACCCTTTGGCTAGTGATATTCTGGGGGCTATTTTCACCTAATTTTAGGAAATGCCAATATGAAATGGGAATCTGGGAGATCCAGCAGGCAAAAGGTCAGCTTGAACAAATTTCTCAGCCCAGACTAAAACCAGAAAGGGGCAAAACAGTTTGCTAGCTATTTTCCAGACAAACCCACGCCAGCTTCAGATGGCTGCTAATTAAAGTGCTGACATTTTAAGACACGGTGGTGCACAATCTCTTGCTTCGAGCCAAGTCTGGGCCCTTTTCAGAGTTCAGTTCATGAATTTTGCTGCCCAGGGGGCTTGGCAAGCCAAGTGGGGGTGAAGGGGATTTTGGTCTGGTATTTTCTTTAGAGGGTGAGCAAGCTTTCAGCCTTTGGAAGAATGCTATGATATTGCCCTAACAGCTCTCACCTGGAGCCTGCTTTGAAGCAGCCCCTTTCCAGAAGGCCGGGGGCCTTTGGAACACCTATGGGAGGGGATTTGAAGGCAGCTGCTGGGCTGTGAGTGGGGCTGAGCCATCTGCCTGCTGCCACTGTGCTGGGGAGATGGGCTGAGAGCACTGGGTCGGCTGGAAGAGAGCGAGCTGCAATCAAGAGGCATATTGTGGCTGTTCGACTTCCTGTGCGATGCATAATTTAGGAGACAAAATGCAAAAGTCAGCTCAGCTCAGCGGGGATTTGGGAGTTGATTTGGGGGAGTGTAGGAGAGGAGACGTTGTCCCTTTGATTGCTCAGCGCGGGAGGAGGCTGACAGGTGATGGGAAGCAGTTGGAAGAGGAAAGAGCCTGACTGCTCCCAGCTGTTGGAAGCGACGATGCCGGCACACAGGGCTCGTGCACAGGGCTGTGTGCCTGCTGCCCTTGCCCCACGCACAGAGGTTTTGTGCAGGCACTGCTGCAGGACAGTGCCCCCAACCACCCCCAGACCCTGGGATGGAAGCGGGGCTGCAAGCAGATGTGTGGGCATTGAGCCCATGGATGAGATCTGCAGTGGCCCCTCCAGTGCAGGGGATGCAGTACACTTGGAGCAGAGAGATCTGGGGTAACATCCCCAATGAAGAGCCTGTGGAAACTAACAGAGCCCCCAGACAGCAGCATTTACACAGGTGGGGGGGCAACAATTGTGCAGGGTCTAACCTGCAGCTCCTTGGAGAATGAAGAATGCCAGGAACAGGTCCTGTGTTAGCTCAGCATCAAAGCATGCAGCACAGCTCCCCAGACAGCCGCGCCGTCGCAAGGTTGGTGCAGGGGCTGGAGGTGAGCTGCCATCCTTGCCCAGGCACAGACATTTTCTGCTCTGTCATCCTGAGTTTTCTGCTCTGCTTTGCCAGATTGTTCCAGGGAAGCTGTCGGCATCGCACGGCACGTTCTTCCAATGCCATCTAGTGTCTGCACAGCCGGTCCCTGCGCTCTGCACCACGGCACCAGCACTGATTTATTGCTGAATGCTCTCTGAGGGCCAACAGGCTGCTCCGGCTGGTTATTAATGGCAGTACCTGCAGCCTGGGTAACTAACTGGTCGGTGCACAGGTTAGGCTTGATTATTTTTTCTATTACTTCCATTTTGCCATACAAGCCCACCCCGGCAGGATGGATTGTGAGGATGCAATGACACGTCCGGGGTGATTAAAATCTTTCAGCTTTCAGCCACTTGTCTGGGAGCCCCAACATCACCTGAGGCTTAATCACTCAGAAAACTGCTGTCATGTCCTATTGTCACTGTATTGGGAGCACGACCTCTTTCCCATTTAGCTGCCATTTCAAAATAATATGACTTGCCAGGGGACAGGCATGACTCAGGAGGCTGGTAATAGGATATAAAGACTTTGACCTGCAGGTCATCCATCTGAACACTGCCAAGGTCAGCAGCAAGGGCAGAGATGTTACTGGCATGATGATTATTTTGCCAAAAGGCCCAACACAGAAATAACCCAGCCCCTCTGTGGCAAGCAGCAGGGTCTGAAGGCTGGGTTAGAATGCTAGAATCATTAAGGTTAGAGAAGATCACTAAGATCATCATGTCCACCCATCGACCCAACCTCACCATGCCCGCTGCACCTCGTCCCTCAGTGCTACGTGTTGCTCCTATTTGGAGAGCATCCCAGGCCCCCAATTCCTCTCCATTTGGGTTTTGGGATCTGATGGCTGTCCATGGTTCCATGCTTCCCTCACCATCATTGTGCCCTCCTCTCCACTCATCGCCATCAGCTGCTGTGATTCAGGTTAGCACTGACCTCTCTTGCATCCTTGGCTACAAGCAACCATGCAGATTTATCTCCTCAGTAGCACACCATTCCATCCAGTCAGTTTGATTCCATGATTAATTAAGCTCTTGCTAGAAATGAGGTTACTCCCTCCAGCCACACTTATAAATATTAGCAGATTAATGGGAACTGGCCACATTGAATGGCCGCTACCAGGCTGTGCCCTGGCATTTGCCATTGCAGAAATGGGACCACAGCACAGCTGCAAAATGCTGCTCATTGAACCCATGCACCTTCATGCCACAGCCTTCCTCATTAGTACAGTGCCCTCACCCCACTGCTGCTCCAGAAGATGCTTTAATTGCTGTTGGTCTCATTAGCAGTGCCCCCTTCTCACCATCCTTCCTTTAATTGCAGGATCCCTCTTTCCCCAGCTCTGAGCAGAACAGAACCTGTTACATGGGGGGAGAAGCCCAGGTGCCCCATCCCTTCCTGCAGGGCTGGGGCTGCCCCGGTTCTTGCCATTCACTAGAAGGAATGGGAGCATCCCAGCACATCTCGTGTTACCTGCAACAGCTCTGGATACTCGTGTGACTTTCCCAGGAGTTCAGCCAACACCCAGCCTGCTCGATGTGTTTGGTTTGCACTAATCTGTTTGGTTTTTTAATTGTCTGCAAACAAAGTGCCTTCTTCTTTGCATAGCAAATATGTTGGGCACAGGCAGCACTGCTGCATGGAGTCATGCCCTCTCTCTGCTCCCAGGACCTGGGCTTCCAAAGCAGAACACAGCCCCTGTTCCCCACCAGTGCTCCCCTCCTGCTGGCTGCTGGGGAGCAGAGAACACCACGAGCCCCGAGACTGACGCCGTGCACAGCAGCTCCATCACTGCTCCCAGAGCTCTTTTGCTGTATTTATCCAGCATCAATAATGGGATTCTGCCCTACTAAACAGCATCTGCATCAACATCGCTGAAAGCAGGAGTGATTCCTGCTGCGTTAGTGTGTAAAAGCCTTTGCAATCATCTTGTGCTATGGACCTGAAGAAGGGTTTTAAATATAAGGCTCTTTAATAAGATGAAAATAGCCTCTCCTTCTCAGCATTCTGCCATGGTTTGTGCCATAGGAACACTCTGGTCATGTTGGGGATGCTCTTTTGCTGTGGGTTCCCCCGCAGCCCTGATGCAGCAGCCCCTCCTCACCACCCCAACTTGTCTTTACTAAATAAAAATTTTTAAAAAATCAAGCTTTTCAGATGGAAAACCCAGGCAGCAAAAAAGATGGCATTGAGGAGCTCCGCAAAGCTGGAAAGCTGCACAGGGCTGGGGAAGAGCTGTCCTCAGTGTGTGCAGCAGGGAAACGGGCACAGCCCCATCCAGCCATCTCCCTGCAGAGCTCACTCTGTGGTGTGATTCATGTCAGGAGCTCGGCGAGTGACTCCGAGATGAATGACGCTATATAAATGCAAAGCGTTATTAATATTTCACGCTGTAGTGAAAGTGTTCTAATGGGGCTTTTTCCTGCAAGATGGAGTGCTGCCATTAACACACCTCTGTGTGCCGACCCGCCTGGGAGAGCTGCTCCCCATGGGTTGGGTGCAGCCTCTGGCACCTCTGTGCCTCCGCAAGTCTGAACTCTTTGGCAAATGGAAGTGGGAGAGGCAGCGGGGAGCATGCATCACCCTGATGTACCCAAAAAAGGATGATTTGGGCCCCAAAGCGGCGAGCTGTGAGAACCCCTGTGGATTGCCTCCATCACTAAAGGGGAACCTGGAAACCCCCCTCCCGTCACAGCTGTCATTCTGATGGTTTAAAAAAAAAAAAAAAAAAAAAGGGCTTGTTTGATTTCAAACTGCAGAACTCTTCCCTGGAGCCATCGGCAAACAGTGGTAATTTACTTTACAGCTGTTTAGATTTGTTTCTCTACTTTTTTTTTTTTTTTTTTTTAAACACCCAGCGGAATTGCAAATGAAACATCTATTTGCTCTTCAAATGGTGTCGGCCCTACCTGTGCTCTGGCACTGCATGCAGCACCCAGGCAGCCCCTGCACTGCTGTGGGATCAGGTCCCCATCTGGGGAGGACTTTGGGGCAGCCCCTGGGGGTCCGAGCAAGAGAAGGTGGGGGCAGCAGTAGGAACCATGTGGTGGAACAGCAGCACCTGCTGCACTGGGACACCCCAACATCCCCAGGGCATCCAGGCGCCCTGAGCACATCCCTGCAGTGTTACAGCCCTTCCTGCAGTGCAGGCAGAGTGTGACCCAACGCAGCACGCAGGGAACTGCCTCGAAGCCAACCCCTGCCCTCGGGAATCTCCTCCTTGCTCCCAGGAGCCCTGCGATGACTCACACCCCGCACACCCTGCCATGCGCTCCTGCCCGGCGAGCACCGACCCGGCCTCTGCGGGACGTCCCCAGGTAAGGGCAGCCCCGGGTGCTGGGGGCTCTGGTGCTGTGGGATGGGGAATTCTCTCACTGTGGGTGCACACAGCTGAGCCCCACACTGCAGTGTGACTGTGCACCCTGGGCTGCTGTTGTTAGTTTGCTTGGGAAAGGCAAAAACTGGGTGTTGTTGTGTGTCCCCAGTCCTGCATCCGTGCCTTCAGTCAACATCATGGGGCGATGCGGGGAGCTCTGGTTCCCATGGGAGGTTTGGGCATGGGGAGCTCTGGTAGGGCAGCACAGACTGCACAGAGCAGCAGAGCCCGTGTTGCTTTCCCAGCAAAGGGAAATGTTCTTATTTTGTTGATAAATGAGGTGTTTAAGGAGAATCAGTCCCAAAAGCAGCACTGGGAATTGTGCCCTTCTATGTGGGATGTGATTATCGGGCTCGATGCAAGCTGGGGTCAAATAGAACTGCTCTGGGTCCTGGGGATGGAATGGGCTGAGTTGATGCCAACTGGTGATGATGTGCACCCAGACCTAGAGCACCAAACTCTGCATTGCCAGGGGCTGAGCAGTCCCTCCAAGCCCACTGCACGGTGTCCACTTGCTGTGGCAGAATGTGCCATACCACATCGTGCCATAACACACTGTCCCATGCCGTGCCATGCCATGCTATGCCGTGCCACACCACCTCACAGCAGCTGCCTGCCCTGGTGCGTGGGCAGCACTGCTGACTTGATGTCAGGCTCCTCCTGTGCTTTGGGGTCGGGGAGTGGAGGAGACACTGGATTCCAACGGTGGGAGAGGACACAGCGGTGGAGCCACAGAGCTGCCGGATGAGTCACACCCCAGCCTGCTCCTATTTGTTGTGCCAAGCCTGGTAGCGTAAGAAAAAAATAATAACAAATACCTGGGTGATGAGATGAGAAATGGGGAGGGCGGTGTGGGATGGGGACAGGCTGAGCCGGGCACAGATCGCGGTGAGCAGTGGCTGGAGGATGCTGCTCCTGAGGCTTTGCTGGGTCCTCAGACCCCACAGGTGGGGACGGTGTTTGGCAGAGGATACTTCAGTGCGAGCGAAGGGCAGTGGCTGTCCCTGAGGGCACCCAGGTGGGAGCACGGCTCAGTGCCATGGGGCACCCAGGTGGGGACCTCCCGGTGCTGCCAAAGACAGCCCCTCACTGTGTCTCCTCTCTCTTCCTAGAGCAGCTAACAGGACCAGGAGACCATGAACTGGTCGGTGTTTGAGGGGCTGCTCAGTGGGGTCAACAAATACTCCACAGCCTTCGGCCGCATTTGGCTCTCCCTCGTCTTCATCTTCCGCCTTCTGGTCTACGTGGTGGCAGCCGAGCGCGTCTGGAGCGACGACCACAAAGACTTCGACTGCAACACGCGGCAGCCTGGCTGCACCAACGTCTGCTACGACCACTTCTTCCCCGTCTCCCACATCCGCCTGTGGGCCCTGCAGCTCATCCTGGTCACCTGTCCCTCGCTGCTGGTCATCATGCACGTGGCTTACCGCGAGGCCAAGGCGCAGCAGCACCGTGCCGAGCGGGGGGAAGGATACCGCTCCCGCTTCCCCAACCCCGGCAAGAAGCGAGGCGGGCTGTGGTGGACGTACCTGTTCAGCCTCATCATCAAGGCTGGCGTGGACATGGTTTTCCTTTACATCTTCTACCGCTTCTATAGGAACTACACCCTGCCCCGCTTGGTGAAGTGCCAGCTGCCCCCCTGCCCCAACATCGTGGATTGCTTCATCTCCCGGCCCACTGAGAAGACTATATTCACCCTCTTCATGGTGGTCACCACCTGCATCTGCATCGTGCTCAGCCTGGTGGAGGCTGCCTACCTGATTGGGAAGCGGTGTCGGGAGCGCCTGCAGGCTGGCACTGGGGAGAGCCACCGGAGCAGCCATGACTGTGCCGAGCCTGCAAGCACAGGGGGACAGGTGTTCCATGGGGTGGGATACAAAGCCCCCACAGCCTCCATCCCCACTGCCTCCATTCCTACAACCTCCATCCCCACAGCTTCCATCCCTACAACCTCCATCCCCACCACACTGCCCGAGCAGGAGAAGACTCCTTCCTAGGGCTTCTGGAGCGCTGTGCCTGCCCAAGATCCTGCTCCAGATAGGACCGTCCCAAGTCCCCATCATGGGAGCACTGGGGTGGATCAACCATGGAGACGGGACTCCGCCTCTCCCCTCCTCAAGGCAAGGCAGTTCGCATCGTTCTGGTGGATTTAGGGTAAGAGCAGGTGCTGCAGGATGAGCCAGCGGGTACCACAAGGTGAGGGGCAAGCAGCTCTGCGCCATGCACTGAGCCTGTCTCAGCTCAGTGCCTCAGTGGGTCCTGAGTGTATCTTTGCAGCGAATAAATATTTCTGTCTCTAAGTGATGTTCTCCTGCTTTTTGGGCACAAAACTGCAGGGGAGATCTCATGCCAAGGAGGGGCACGAGGGCTGTGCAGCCCCTGGAAAGGCACTGAGCAGCTCTGGAGCCGGTTGTGAGCAATGCTGCTCTTGGTACAGCAGCCACAGCCACGAAGCACAAGGGCGAGGAGCCTGCTGTGGGCTGGAGAAAAACACCCGAGCAAAGCAGCCAAATAAAGGAGAGGAAAAACACCCCAGCCATTGATTAAACAATAACATTAAATGGCAGAGTATGATCTCGTTTATTGCTGTAATATGTCGCGTTCTGCCGTGACTCAGGCTGCTCTGCAATTTCTAAGGCCATCAACAGTAACTGAACATTAGCTGGAATGAATAATTAACAATAATTTCATGGCGAATGCACTCATAAGTAACATTAACATTGAACAAGCGGCTCGATCTGTTACTGGTTTTGCTGTATTTAGAGGGTGCAATTATTATTTTTTCCATGTGCACAGAAAGCCCCAGTGCTTGCTGTGTTTGCTACAGAGAAAAGGCACATAGGGGGCTCTCCTGCCCAGCCCTGCAGTGCAGGGCTCTGCTCGGCCACCTCTCAGTGCAGCTGCTTCCACTTTGCAGCAGGTCTGAGCCCATTAACCCTGAGCCCATTAACCTGAGCCCACAGCTCTGCAGAGCTGAGCTGTGATGTGTTGGGGGCAGGAGATGCTGTGTTCACCCATGGGGATGATGTGTGGGTTTGCCCTATGAGGATGGGGGTGATGGAGGAGCACAGGGCGGTCTCTGCCTCCTGGGTCCCTGTTGGCACGTGGCACAAACAGTTTGGACACCTTTGGGGTGATGGTGGCAGATGGTGTATACGAGTGGATTCCTTCCATCTCTTTTAAGTGAATCTGGTTTGATCTCTGTTCTCTCTTTGCTTTGGATAATGTTCCTTGCTGAGATCTTCAGTGCCAGAGGATTCAAGCTGCTCCTTGTGCTAAGCCCTCACCTCTCCTTTGGAGCACAGGGCTGGGCTGTTTGATTTGCAGTATGGTTGGCTGTTGCTGATCAAGGCTGTCCTCTAAGAGCAAAAGCCAGAGGTGTTTCCCAGCTGAAAGCCATAATCCCTGCCAGGATGGGACACATCCAGCTCAGCCCAGCCCACATCCAAACATCCCTGCCCCACTTCCACGCATCAAAGCAGCAGTCACCTAGTGCAGGACCTGACTGTCCAGGTGCTGCTGTTGTTGTGCTGCGTTATCTTGCCCGGAGCAAGCATTGCAGCAGCTCTGCAAAACCTTGCACCATTCAGGCTGGGGTTTGGCGGTTGCTGGCAGGACATCAGTGAGGTTATCTCGTTCCTTCAGCTGTGTGTCTGTGCTCTGCACCAAAGGGAGCTGAGATTGACCCAAATGGCACTGCAGGAATTGGGAATGGGGGACAGTGATGCCTCCATGGGGCACAGAGCACTTGGTGTCAGGGGATGTTATCATAAAGGCTATTTTCTAGACTTTGCATCATCGTCATCCAAGGACTGCTCTATTGCGAGGGATGCTCAGAAGCCTCCTGAATTTTTGGAAGGCAGCATTTAAAACTGAAGTATTGCCAATGCCAGCCCAGCTGGGGATGCAGTGGGACTCAGGTGCCGCTTGGGGCAGCCCATCTTTCCCAGCAGGGTCACTGTCAGGAACCCGCCTGGTTGCTGGGAATTGAGGACAAAACCTCTGATTTGTGGCCAATTCCCTGCTCCCACGCCCCTGGTGACTCCCAGGCTGCAGTGAGGTCGGGGCTGGGTTGGATCAAAGGCAGCGCCAGGATCCAGCCCCACTGCATGACCCTGCACCTCTGCCTTGCAAACCCCATTGAAAACCCTTTTAAGGAGACTTTGAGATCTGGTTTTTTCCGGTGGTGTTTGGAGGCTGCGTGCTCCACAGCTCGATTGCTTCCTTATGGAGGCCCCGGGGTCAGCGCACTGGAAGTCACTGAGTGCTTTTTGCGTTCACGTTGTACTGATTGCAGGATGGGGCATTCCCAGGGATGCCGATGGATCTGGGGGGACTCCAAGCATCCCACTCCCACATGGGCACGAATTCACAACTTGCACTGCTTCCTGCAATCCGAAGAAGAAGCAATGAGCAATCTGAAGGCCAAGCACAGCCGCAGATGGGAGGCATGCTTTTGGCGTGGCTGCCCAAATACCCAGCGGAACGCAGCACAACACAGGGCTGTGTTCCTTCCCCACCCAACTGCCGTGGGCAAAAACTTCTGCCCGTGTCAAAAGGCACTGAACTTTCTCCCCGTGTGTCAGAGCCCCGGGGCACGTGGACCCTGCTGAAGTGCCCCATTTGCAGCAGAGGGGCTGCTGGGACCACAGGTTTTGTTGCTGCCTGGGGAGCAAATCAGACCAGCTGGGCGGCTTTCGGCATCTCCTCCCTTTGCTTTTTCTATCTCTTAGGCCACAGCCCCCAGATTCCTGCCGCCGCTCATGGCTTGCTACAAAATAGCTCAAATTCCTGATCCTGATGATAGGTGCCCAGGGCCAGGGAAGGGCTCCAGGGGCCCTGGCTTTGCTTACAGCAGGAAGGTGGGTGCCTGGCATAGCATCACGCTGGATCCCACTCCTTTTGAGAGAAGAGGGGGGAAAGAAACAGGAAGGGCCCAGATTTGGCACTGGGAACTGCAGTGTTTGCTCTGAGCAAAACAGGGGAGATGCCTGGGAACCACGCAAGGTTTCGCTTGGGCTCTCCTCCTCCCCATTGTGCCCCCAGTCTGGCACAGCACCAAATCTTCTTGACCTGGAGAGAAAAAATGCAGCAAGGCTCCATCGCCTCAGGGAGCGGCTCCTTGTGTGCCACGAGTGTCCTGAGCGCAGCATGGTGAGCACCCGCCATGCCCTGCACTGGGAGGGGTCCCAGCGCCGTGCCCTGAGGGCCCCAAAGCTGCGCCGTGCCGGAGTTGTGCCAGCAGGAATCACGGGGCCGGTAAACCACAGGCAAGAGGAAATGCAACGCTACCCCAGCCACGTTGGCAGAGGCGTGAAATGGGGCTGAGGTGGAGCAGGGACGCTGGGTGACACTTGGCTGCCCACACAGGGAGGGTCTGACCTAGCATCCCATGGCACAGGGGTGTTGCCCGCTTAGGGATGCGTTCTGGGTCCCATGAGGATGGGGCAGGACGCGGTCAGCAGGGCACGGTCATGTTGCTGGGTTGGTGCTGTGCATTGGGAAAGGTCTCACCCAGCAGCACCCAGAGCGGGGTGGTGTCTGTGGGGTGCTGTAGGTTGGAGATATTTATGTTCTGTTGCCAAAGCATTAGTAAGGCAAATTGTATTAGAAATGGGTCATAATGTATAACGCGATTCTTAACGACTGTTGCTGTTGCTTGGCTCACTCTAGGTGTGGATGGGGCTGATGGTGAGAGCCCCATCAGCACTGGGCTGGGTTTGCTGCTGGGTTTGGTGCTCAGAGCCCCGGGGCACAGAGCATCACCTGGAGGAGCTGCTGTCGTTTCTGGTGGAGGAATCTGGCTCTATTTCTCCTGCTGCAGGATTTGACCTGCCTTTGTTGTTCAGCCCAAGCATGTATGTGCATGTGCACAGACAATAACCACACGGAGCTGTTTGCCAGACTCACCCAGTTACTCGGAACAGAACAAACTTTCCCTTCATGACACATTGCAGCTGGGACCCAAGCACACAGGAGTGCTGCAGCCAGGAATGGGCTTCCCCGCCCCCAGAGCTGCCCAGACCCACCCTGCTTTCCCCAGTGCAGGGCAGGTACTTTGCTGGGGCTGGGGTGGGAGTTTACAGGGCTGCCGTGGGCTGTGCTGGATGAGGTGGGATGGATCCTTCAGTGCTAAGGGGGTGTGGGTGTCACAGCTCTGGCTGCCATGCTATGCTGCAGTGGCTGAAGTTGGGAACCCTGATGCCACGTCAGGACCCCACTTGATCCACAGGGCTGTGCAGGGCCCCCACAGCATGGAGCAATGCAGGGGGCCATCCCTGCTCCTAGCTCTGTAACATTTGCACCCCAGGTGGGAGCCGGGTGCTTTCAGTCCCACCGCCCCGCACCTACGCAGGGCAGGACCTGGGGGTGACGCAGCAGGTTGGCACGCAGCGGTGCTGGGTGCTTTGCAGGAGGCAGAGCTCAGCACACCTGGAGCTGCCCCTGGCCAACAGCCAGCATCACCCAGCCGCGGGGCTTGCACAACGCGGGGCGTGGTGCTCGGCTCCCAGCTCAGCTCCCTTCCTGCCCCACTGCAGACACATGGACGGGAGCAGCAGCAGGCTGAGGTGAGCGCTGGGTGCAGGGGGGGGGGCTGTGCAGCATCGCCCATGGAGCCCTCAGGGATGGGGATGCGGGGGATTTGCAGGGCTGTCAGGGGGGGATGGTGAAAGGCCAGTGATCCTCGTGGGATATGGAGCAGTGATGGGCTCCAGGCTTCGCTCACCAGCTTTTGGGTGAGGATGGGTACGTGGCAGCTCCCTGCTCCTGATCTCACAGCAGATGTGTAGGAAGGGCCAGGAGGAAGTGCTGGGCTTGCTCACACTCCAGCAGGGCTGAGTGGTTTCTGGGCAGTATTTGAGGATCTGTTCCTTCCGCACAGCCCCAGGACACGTAGAACCAAGGTGCCACGCCACGTAGAACCAAGCAGTGAGGGGATCCCGAGCACTGCCCTGTGACTGTGCTGCCAACCATGCCCCAAACTGGGATCTTCCCACCCCGCAGCCCTCGGTGAGCAGGGACGGAACCGGAGCCTCTTGCAGGTACGTCTCAGAGGTGCTGGGTTGGTACAGGCAGAGCTTGTTCAGCATGGGAATGTGGGGTGTGGGAATGTTGGGGATGGTGATACTGGGAAGCGTCTGCACTGGAACCTGGGTGAGGAGTGACAGCCAGGGTGACGTACATGGGCTCCATCTTTCAGTGGTTCTGCCCCCACCTGGGCCCAGGATCCCTTGTGTCATCTACAAGAGAGAAAACTTGTTTCCTGCAAAGCCCTTTGGGCTCTCAGTGAGCAGCAGCCTTTCAGCCCTATTTACTTATGTGGAAACTAAGGCCTGAGTGGGGCTGGGATGGGCAGAGTCAGAGCCTGACATCCCCTAATGATAAAGATCCCACCAGTCACCAAAACATGGATGTGCACAGGGGCTGCCCCAGGGCTGTGCAGAGCATGCAGGGGAGTGCAGATGATGGATGTGAATTCCTGGAGAGGTGAACCTGGGGCTGGAGGAGTGGAGACCATGCACACCTGGTGCTGTGCCCCATGGGAAGCCCTGCCAACCTTGTTCTGCTGGGGAGCTTCACCCGCTAGGTGATTAACGGCAGCCACAGGCTCCCCAAAGCCTCCCTTCCATCATACCACAGCTCTGATGTGTCTCAGCACATGAAGTGACGTGCCCTGAATAGTCACCCCATTGAGTTGATGTGTGAGCACCCAGCAGCCCAAACAGGGCTTGGCAATGCACTGCAGTGGCCAGCAGGACGTGTTCCTTTGGGCACTGAAGGAGGGATGGAAATGTGTAGCAGGGTTCCCTCTTGCCCCCATCCCAGGGGTGCTGCCAGGTCACGAGGCTGCTTTTCACTGAAGGGTTTGCTTTGCTGCAATACCCAGCACGCCATGCAGCCCCGACATCCTCCCAGGGCACGGCCTCTCTGTTTATCCAGGGGATTTTGTTGCCAATTTATACCCACGTGTGCAGTCAGGGACTGTGGTTGGTAGGAGTGCTCCAGGCAGCTCTTCCCTTATGGCAAAGGCTGTAATAGGGGGAAGCCTGGAAGGGCTGAATCACCTCTGAACGTCGCTGTAAGAACCCAGGGTCAGCCGTGCCCCCATCAGCCCAGGCTCTGCTCTGTGTGGTCATGCTGTGTCCTCAGCTGAGTGTGATGGATGGGAGGAGTTCAGGAGGTCAGCTGGGTTAGGAGGGTCCATCCAGCACTGCAGTGCTGCAGGAGATGAGCTGCCCTGCTGCTGTGTCCTATTGAATCTCCCCACCCATTGATGTTTCTCCAGGTGTCTGATTCTGACTGCAGCTATCACCACTCACCATGGATTGGAAGACACTGCAGGGGCTGCTCAGTGGGGTCAACAAATACTCCACAGCCTTCGGTCGTATCTGGCTCTCCGTGGTCTTTGTCTTCCGTGTCCTGGTCTACGTGGTGGCAGCTGAGCGCGTCTGGGGGGATGAGCAGAAGGACTTTGACTGCAATACACGCCAGCCAGGCTGCACCAACGTCTGCTACGACCACTTCTTCCCCATCTCCCACATCCGCCTCTGGGCTCTGCAGCTCATCTTTGTCACTTGTCCCTCCCTGCTGGTCATCATGCACGTGGCTTACCGCGAGGACCGCGAGAAAAAGAACAGGGAGAAGAATGGGGAGAATTGCCCCAAGCTGTACAGCAACACAGGCAAGAAGCACGGTGGGCTGTGGTGGACTTACCTGCTCAGCCTCTTCTTCAAGCTCATCATAGAGATCCTGTTCCTCTACCTCCTCCACAAGATGTGGGACAGCTTCGACTTGCCACGGTTGGTCAAGTGCACCAACGTGGAGCCCTGTCCCAACACTGTAGACTGCTACATCGCTCGGCCAACCGAGAAGAGAGTCTTCACTTATTTCATGGTCGGGGCCTCTTCCATCTGCATCGTCCTCACTGTCTGTGAGATCTTCTACCTCATCTTCAAGCGCGTTGTCCGGAGCACACGCAAGTGGAAGAAGTCCATCAAGCGCTCTATGAGCTACAGCAAAGCCTCCACCTGCCAGTGCCACCTCAAGGCGGAGGAGAGGGAGAACAAGGCCCTGAATAGGTGTGTGGCAGCCTAAAGGCCTTGGCTCCCATCCTGACCTCCATCTGATGGGGTCATGGAAGGGGAAGAGGGAGGGATGAGGGTCCTGGCACGTGCCAGGGATGGCTGCCCTGGAGGTGCCCACCAGCAGTGCCACCACCAGAGCCGTCAGCTGGGACTTCACTGGCTCTGTAGGGGAGGGAAAAACATCCATGGGAAATCTTCTTGGTGCCTCTAAGGGCAATTGTATGTCATGGGAACATGAGTGACGTGATGATGATGGGCTGGGATGGTTGTAACCTCTGCAGCTTGTGTCAGGCAGAACAGGGCAGGTACAGAGTGGGCACAGACCAAGCTGGGACCCCATCTCACCACCAGACAAGACCTTCTTAGGGACCCACAGCGTGAGGTGTGGGGATTCTGTGGACTAACAGTGCCAGGACTGATGACCACATGCGTATCCCCAGGGTGTCCCAGCAGTGAGGGCATGCTTGGCAGTGGCCCAGTGCCAGCTGCCCACAGGCATGCTGTAACTAAGAGTGTCTGTTCTTTCCACAGAGGAGAGGAGCTGTAACCTTCCCTGTTCCAGCCAGCTTGCCTTCCCCTCGGACCATGAGCTTTTCAAGCCTACAAAGTTCCCAAACTCTGGATATTTGACCTCTATGAAAAATTATTAAACCCAACGAAGTCCCCTGAGAGAGGACTGTGGGGTGACTGAGAAAACACAGGTAAGGGAAGAGCAGCCCCTGAGCTCTGGCTGCACCCAGTGGTGCTTGGACATCATGCTGACACATGGACACCAATCACAAGCTCTGCTAAGCAGCCACCAAGCTGCCTCCAGTGGGGACAAAGCCATTGTGCTGGGAGGGCACACAGGACTAGGACCAGCAGGAGGGAGCAGCCAGAGGCTCCAACAGCTCCTATTGAGTTTCCTGTGCTGCTGCTCCTATGCTGGGTACAAATGCATTGAGCAGCGCCCAGCCCGGGCTGCTGGTGCCCATCATATGGTGCTGCTGCATTGGCCCAGGACAGGCAGGAACAGCTTCTCTCTCTCTCTGCTCATGCAAGCACCTCGCTGACGTCCTGCCCAAGTGGCTTTTCTGGCTCTGCTGCTTCCCTCTGCTCCCACCCCTTGCCTCAGACGGATGTGTCATTCACATTAGCAATGAATCCAAGGTGTCAATAAACGTTTCATTGTAGACATTGGGATCTGCTCTGCTTGCTGGAAATTGCAGGGGGGAGGTGAGGGCTGAAGAAATGGATTTGTGTTGGTTCCTCAGGTGCCCCTGGTGGGTTCAGCCCCCTGGCCTTGTTCCTGGTATCCACCTGCCCCCTCCCCTCCCACTTGTCACACATTGTTAAACTTTAATTCACCAGAACTGCACGCTGGCCCCCAAGGAAATCAAGGCGAGATCAGCATCAATCATTTACTAAACCTTGATAAATATTACAATAAATAGAAATGATTTCCACTTAATCTCTCCCTAAGCAGCTGTATGCGGAGGGTCTGCTCAACCCACGCTTTTCCAAATCCACACACGTATTGCAGCAGGTGCTGCCATGGCTGGGGCTTGTGCTGCACCGAAAGGCAGTGACAATGATGCCCATGTGGGATGGTGACGCATCTCCACTGCTCAGCACTTTGTCACTTGTACCATCTGTGGTGCCAGACTTGGGCACCCCGCACCAGAGGACAGATATCACAGGTATCTGATCAGGATGTGCCTTTGCAACCAGTGTGGGGTCTGCACTGAGGTGCCCACGTGGCTTTCTGGAGAACTGTGGCCGGTGTGGGTGAAGCAACATGGGAGCTGGTGCATCCACAAGTGGGGACAGCTCTATTTCCTTTGTGGTTTTGGGGCTGCTCCCCAGAGGTGATCATTTCCGCCCATCAGGGGCTGGCAGGGTGCAGAGCATCACTGGGGACAGACGCAATGAGGGGACACGTCACAGCAGCAGCCACAACTTCGGGCTGGTGGGAAGGGGGAAGTGGTGACCCTGCTGAGCTGGCTGGGAGATGGGTGCTGGACACCTGGTGCCACAGCACGTGGATGTTACCCAATGCAATTAATATATATTAAACGTAACGAGGCTGTTCTGGCTCCACCTCTGCTCAGACCTGTCTGTGAGGAGGAAATGCCACGTCCTGGTGGGGAGAGGCAGAAGTTTCCTGGCCCAGTTTCTGCTTGGATTGCCCAAGGTCTGCCGCTCCCATGCAGCCTGTGCTGTGTGCCATCCCATGCAGCTGGGAGGACACAAATGGGGGTTTTTGTCCCCCAGAGTATCTGAACTTAACCCTGCGCATAAAATATCAGCATCTGCTCACATTGCTTTCCTGTATCAGCCCCAACTCCGGTCCCCTCACTAAGAACAAAACCACTCAGGGCATCCGCACCGCGGCCTCCCAGTGCTGCCCCACAGCCTCCCGCTGTCCCCAAACCCTCCCTTATCTCAGCCGGGCTCTGCTCAAACCAGACGGCAGCCGCGGCCCGGTGCCTTTGCCCGAGCTCAGCCTGCGATGTGGCTCCAGCACCACCCAGCGCCCACGCCGCGCACGGCCCCGCTCCACGAGCGCCTGGAGGAGCGAAATATCCCAAACCCCGCAGTAACGGACCGGCCCCGAGGGCAGCATCCTCCGGGTACGGCCGTACGGGGCCGGAGCATCTCCCATCGGGTGTCCCCGCGGCCGTCCCCGCCTCCTCGGCTGCAGAGGAGCTTTGAACGGGTGCGGGACGCTCAGCCGCCGAGCTCTCCCCGCAGGACTGCGGGGGAACAACGGGGCACGGCCATTCCCACCGCTTTCTGTCCCCGTCTCCCCCCCTGGAGCTGTCGGACCCCCCCCGGCTCCTCTCCCCCACCCCGTCCCGTACTGCTTTGACTCCGACGGACGGCCCCAGCGCACCGATTCGCGTTTGGGTCGCGCACAACTTCTCTCTCCCCGCCTCCCGCCGTCACCGGGAGCCCTCCCGGGCGGTGCTGGCGGCCCCACCGCCCCCGGCCCGCCCCGACGGGGTGGGAGCGGGCGGCCCCGGCCCGGCTCCCCGCACCTGCGGTGCTTTGCTAAGCCCCGGCCCCGGCTTCCTGTTCGCGCTCCTCCTCCGGCTCCCCCGGGCCCCGCACGGCCCCCGCAGCCCGACCCGGCCCGGCCGCTCACACCCTGCACGGCCCGAGGCAGAAGGGACGTGCCCGGCGCTGCCAGGCGGGCGGTGAGTGAGTGAATGAGACCCCCGGGACCCCCGGCACCGCATCACTTTCTGCTTCGCGATGGGATCACTGCTCTTTGCATGCACCCGCTTCTCTGCTTCGGGGCATTTCTCCATCCTACCGGGAGACGTGTCTCTTAAACGGTCCAGCTGCGCTTAATTGGCAAAGGTTAATTAGGAGTCAGGGCTGTAGCTGCTTCCTCTTTCCCAGCTGGGCTGTAGGGCTGTGCTATGAGGGGGGATGCAGGCAGGCTGCCCGGCTGGCTGGGGTGACAGTGGGACAGCTGGGATCCTCTGAGCAGTGCCAGATCTGCATGCAGTGAGTGGCTCTGGGATCCCCTGGCTGGGGGCTACAGGGGCATGGGGGGAACAATTTGGGGCTGGGGTGGTATTGTCCTACAGCAAGGGAGCTGGCTGTGGATTGCAGGTTGGGCTAGCTGAGTTCAGTGGCCTTTTCCAACTTTAATGATTCTCTGATTGTGCACTCAGTTTGGGGATAGCACTGCCTGGGTGTCGGGGTAACAGCTGTACTCAGGGCTTTGTGCCACTGTCACGTTGCCTGCTGCCCTTTGGTGGGGCTGGGCTGTAGGAGGGGTGAGTTTAGGCTGCCCCTGCAAGCTGCCAGCCATGCCCTCACAGTGGGTTTGCTGGGACCTTCTAAAGAGTGGCTGTGTGCTGAGAAAGCTTGGGGACACAGCGTGCGAATGGGGGATTGACTCGATCCCCCTCTCTTCCCTCTGCTGCCAGAGGCACGAGGCTCCTAGAAGATGGGCGACTGGGGATTCCTGGAAAAACTGCTGGACCAAGTCCAGGAGCACTCGACTGTGATCGGGAAGATCTGGCTCACTGTCCTCTTCATCTTCCGTATCCTCATCCTGGGCTTGGCTGGTGAGTCCGTGTGGGGGGACGAGCAGTCAGACTTCGTGTGCAACACCAAGCAGCCGGGCTGCACCAACGTCTGCTACGACAAAGCCTTTCCCATCTCCCACATCCGCTACTGGGTGCTGCAGTTCCTCTTTGTAAGCACCCCGACCCTCATTTACCTGGGCCACGTCGTCTATCTCTCGCGGAAGGAGGAGAAGCTGAAACAGCAGGAGAATGAGCTCCGGGCTATCCACAGCAAGGACCCAAAGATTGAGCAAGCATTGGCAGCTGTAGAGAAGAAGATGTCTAAGATCTACATGACGGAGGATGGGCGGCTCAAGATCCGAGGGGCGCTGATGTGGACGTACATCATCAGTGTGATCTGCAAGAGCATCTTTGAGGCAGGCTTCCTCGTTGGCCAGTGGTACCTGTATGGCTTCTCCATGGTGCCCCGCTACGTGTGCAGGAGGGACCCCTGCCCACACCAGGTGGACTGCTTCATCTCCCGCCCCACCGAGAAGACCATCTTCATCATCTTCATGCTGGTGATGGGCCTCATCTCCTTAATCCTCAACCTCTTGGAGCTTTTCCACCTCTGCTGCAAGAGCCTGCTCAGCAACATCAAGAAGGTGCCGGTGCCGGCTGGCCCGAGCCAAGGTGCCTTTGCTGATGACATGGGCTCGGGTCCCTACCCAGCCAAGCATTACCCCTTCCTGCCCATGGCCGAGAGCCACACGCCGCCCTACCAGGCCTACAACAAGCTCTCCAGTGAGCAGAACTGGGCCAACTTCCGCAACGAGGAGAACCTGGCATTGGGCAGCAGCACCAGGCCACTCTCGGACCCCTACACCCCCAGGGTTCCAGATGCCCCAGTCTCTGAGGAGAAGCTCAGCCGGCCCAGCAGCTCTGCATCCAAGAAGCAGTATGTCTAGGGCCAGGGTGGGGCCACCCCTGGTTCCTTTGTGCCTGGACTGTCCCTTGTGCCCGCTCTGAGGGATGTGGTGCCTGCTATTGGGACATGATGCTCACAGACTCACTGGCCCCTGAGCACAGCCTCTGTTCTCTGCTATTTTCCCCATGGGTCTTGCAAGGAAGGAAACTACATGGAAACTTCCCCAGGCTGTGCTGGGATGGCGTGTGCAGGGCAGAGAGACTTGGCATCACTGTGGGAAAGGGAGCAAATCCCCAGGGCTGGGAACCGGCTGTCCCAGGGCTGTGGCAAGGGGTCCTGTCTGTGCAGCTGGCCCCTGGGACGTGATGAAGTCCCGCTGCCAGAGTGGGAGCACTGTGAAGCCATGGGAAGCTGCTTGTCCTGGCCGTGGGCTGTGTCCCTTTCCTGTGACCCAGCAGACAGCTGGCACTGCTCCATGCGGGGGCTTTGCTGCCAGAGCTGCCCCCTGTCCCTGTGGACCGCAGTGGGGTTAACCCTGCACTGGGACATTTGTCACGCAGCACGTCCCCATTGCCCTGAGTGCCCCAGGACCCCCCCCCCCGCCTTGTCCTGTCCCTGGACCCATTCCCATGTGATGTCTCTAAGTTATTTTTAACGTGCCAACCCAAAGCTTTCTGCCTTAAAGGTGCCGTTGTGCAGGGGACCAGGGAGCCCTGTCCATCCCAGGCCACCAGCTCTTGAGCCCAGTGGTTTGGGGGAGGAATTAGCCTAGCAGTTACCAGTTTGAGGGGCCATTGTTTTTAATACTTTGCACTAGTCATCTCCTTCTGTGGGCTGCAGTGCTGGTGATGGAGCAGAGGAATGGACCACTGCCCACCAAAGCTGTGAGATGGAAGGGGCTATGGGAACCTGCTCCATCTGCTGCTCATGGACCACGTGCAGCTACAGAGCATGAGCGCAGGGTGTGGGCTTTGCTCCTCTGTTCTGTTTCCTTTTCCTCCCTGCCAGACTGAGCGCTGTATTGCATTGAATAAAGTTGGATGAATTAAAGGTGCAGTGTGGTGAGAGCATGTTTGTGCCACTTTGCTGCTGTCCTAAGGGTGGTGGGACTGAGGTGTGTGCATGGGCACAGTGTGAGTTCTGGCGATGCTGCTCATTGCTGCAAGTGCAAACCCACCTGCTGCCTCTGCAGGGTCCATTATGGGACCGTTGTGGTGCAAAACAGAATTTTGGGTGCCCCCATCACTGGGGCCTCTCATCTGCTTGCCCCAGCTCTGCTGCAGATAAACCTGGTGGAAGCCACAGAGCTGCTGCATAATAGGTGGAAGTGAGCTGCAGATAAAGGCGCACAATGTGCCTCGGGGCCCTATTTGGTTTCCCTGGCGGCGTGAGCCCAGGGCAGAGCCTGCTGCTCTCTGCTGAGGGCCTCTTCAGCGAGGGTGGGACAGGCTAAAAATACCCCACAGGCAATGAAATATGGGTGATACGGGGCCATATCGCTGCCAGAGGAAGCAGGGAGGGAGGCACTGTGTAGAGTCACAGCTGTGCCCAAGCCACTCCCTGCCTTCCCTCTCTCCACGGGGATGGGAACACATGCCTGGAGCATCCCCAAACCCCCACGCTGGGGTGCTGTGGGGCACCAGGACAAGACCCTCTGCAGGGACCTTCCCAGGCGGTGCCCCTTGTCTGGCTCCCACCAGGCACCAGCAGAGCCCGGCGGCCCCATACTCTGTGGGGAGGAAATGCCAGTGGGAAGGGGAACGGCGCAGCCCCACAGTGTTTACCACCGGGCAGCCGCTGTTTGCTCTCCTCGCTGTCCCAGGCTGATATTTTTGTTGGCACCAGGAGATCGTCACGCTTTTCCCTGCAAGGTGGAAAACAAGACGGCCGCAAGCCCCCTTGATGGAGCCAGCGGGGCCACGCGTGCCCGGCCCCACGTGCTGCAACAACACGGCCCCACACACCGCTATTGTTCCCGTGTTGTGACAATGGTGGCTGCTGTGACCCCGCACCGCCGGGACCTTCGTCGGCACGCGCCAACAACAACAGGCAGAGCTCACCTGCACCGCGGCAGCGGGGATGGGGCAGGCGTGGGACCCCCTGAAGGCGGGCGGGCAGCCCTAAGACAAATAAAAGTTTGCAGCTGATAAGCGTGCTGGCTGGCCCGTAGGAGCCCTTTTGGACAGATAGCAGCGGGACAGACATTCACGGCCTTTCTCACACCTCCGTGTTGCCTCCTGAATAAACAGCCCCCTCCGGTTCCCTTCTGGGAACAGCACTTGCTGTCCCAAAGCCCGGCCCTGTGCGTGGTGCTGAGTCCTGCAGCTCCCTGTGGGCACCCCCAGGACGGGCACTTTTCTGGGTGCTGCTCCCCACTGCCTCCCCTGGGATGGGGAAGCCCCACTTCGGAGCCTATGGGGTTTCTCTCTGTCCAAGGCTGGAGGTTTTTTCAAGGGTGGAGCCCCTAAAACAACTTCATCATGAGCCTACCTATGCTGTGCCCCATTTGCACGTTTTCTTTAATGGAGTGCAAGCAACAACTTGCTGCTGTTCCTATACCCATAGTTCCCGGAAGAAAGTGAGTGCCAAGAGAGCGATGTGATGTCTTCAAGGTGTGAAAGAAATGGGGAGGGAGGAGCACTGGCAGAGGGATGTGCACCCAAACAGCGTGGAGCTCAGGGATCCCAGGCAGAGGCATCCCGTGGGCACAGCTTTTGGGTGTCCACTCTGAGCACCTCCTGATCCAGAATGGGTTTGGGGGTGCTCAGCTGGTCCTACAGGGGTCACATGTTGCCCAGGACCCCAGTTCCTGCTGGGGCCACTGCCCAAACACCAACCACTATCCCAGGACCACCAGTGAGCACCAGCCTGCACTGAGTTCCTCTGCACAGTACAGCCCAGGCTGGAGACAGGAGCAGCACACAGACTGCTGCAGCTCGTCCCACTGCAAGGCTCTGTCCAAGGAACTGGCCGAGCACCAAGGAGTTTATTTTTAAGCTTTCCCAGCGCAGAGAAAAGAGCAAGCTGCTAAATCCGACTTGCTCGCAGGAAGAGCGGCGGCGGCAGCGGGAGCAAAACTGCAGCTGAGAAGGGAGGAAGGGCAGAGGCTGGGCAGGGCGATGCCAGCTGGGACCACAGCAATGATGCATCTCTGAGCCCCAGCACTTCCGTGATGGCAACACCAACCGTGGCACAACCCTGCCTCTATCAGCCCAGTGCCTAAGGAGGAAAAACCAACCCCACGCAGCTCCCTGCAGGGTTATATTTAAGCCTCCACGCGTGGGCACAGCAGACAATGTGGCCCCTGAGACCCGCGTGAGAACCACAGGCAGGAGGAAACGCGCTCAATAGCCTCGACGACTTCCCGCATCCTGACATTGTCGCTCCCCTCCAGCCGCTTCCTCGTGTTGAGGCAGTGGGGCTGCAGCAGCACCCGCACCCCCATGCCCACCCCAGGATGGGGTCTGGGAGCTGTGGCTGCATGAAGAGGTGACACTGAGTGGGACGTGCCCCCTGTTGCTGTCCTTGGATCTTGTTTAAAGTGGAGCTGCTCTTCTCTAGAGGCGCTGCAGGGCTTTTGCTGGAGCCGGCAGCAGCAATGCGGCTATGCTGTGGGACCGTGGGTCCTGCAGAGGGACTGAGACACTGGGAAAGGACAAGATGGGAGCCTGGGAAAACAGCCTGGGTTCACCAGGGCAGGGAGCAGAGGTCCCCAAGGAATGCGGGGACACGCTGGGGGACACAAACCATTCGTTAGCCAGCACCTCTGGGGTGAGCACACCTCTGCATCTCGGGGCTGCCGGCACGTCCCGAGTGCCCTGGGGTGACAGTACAGCCCCAGGACAGGAAATGTGAGTGGGAGTCCCCATGGATCCCAGCACTGCTCTGCAATGTCACGTCACTCACTCATGGCCCTGCTGCTCCAAGCAGCCCTGGTGCCACCACATGGTCACAGAGTCCCAGACCCACAGCTGGCGTGTCCCCACACTGAGCTCACCGGACATCCTCTGCAGCTGCCCAGGTGTGCTGAGCTGAGCCAAGCAGCTGGGGGGGCTCTGGGGTCTCCATTCCCCCCTATCAGTGTGAGCTGGGAAGCAGAGTAGGGAGGGCAGCAGAGCAGACTGGCTCCATCCCTGCATCCTGCCTCCGGAAACCAAAATCTGTTCCTCGCACGCTGCAGGTGAGGGACCCCCAGCAGCAAAACCAGCCACAGCCAGAGCATGGCTCTGCATGCAGCAACAGCTGCCTCTGGAGCTGGTGGGGAGGAAACCGTGGGTCTGGCAGGGACTGAGTCCCAGCACAGCCAGTGGCCCCAGTGCCATTCTGGCCTCTGAGCTGGACACCAGACCATGGATGGTGGCTGCTGCAGGCCCTGAGCGCTCAGTCTGGGGTCCTTTGCTCTGAAAGAAGGGATGAAATGCCTGTGGAACACCAGCAGACACAGATATCGTGCAGTCCTGTCTCAGCTGAGCCCTGGCTGCACAGTACTGTGCACAATGCATACCCCAAGCACAGTGACATTTTGGCAGTGCTAGATTTAATCACTGCTCAGAACATAACCCATTGCCACATGGGCTTCCTCAAAGCCAGCTGGGTCCTGTGCTGATGAAGGAGAGCATCCTCCCACATAGCAGCAGCTCCTGAGCTGGACCACAGCAATGTCTTGCCCATGAGGGGTGGTGCATGAGAGCTGGAAGCCAACTTTTACCATAATGGTGCATTCAGCAATGCTTCCTCTCGCTCCTAGTGAGACATCATGGCTGTTTTTCCCAGCTCTGAGTTCTTGCCGGCTCCTATTCTTGTCTAGAGAGTGCTTCCCAGGCAGCACATTGTTGAGATTCAATGGGAGGAAGGGTGGGTTTGCAGCACCAAGGGTTTAGGAGAATTGTGGCACTTTCCCCCATTTGTAACCGGTCTGCAGAAAGCCCCAATGCCTTGGGGAGCCCATGGCTCACCCCCAGTGCTCTGCTGGTGCAGAAAGTGCAGAAACCAGCTGGAAACGTGGAAGCACTGGTTAGGTAGCAGGCATAGATGGCTGCAGAGGTTGGGGATGCACCGTGGGGCTCGTGGTACCCACACAAGATGCTGCCCACGGCCCATCCTTTCCCACACATTGTTTTAGCAAGCAGAGAGGCTGTGTGGGCTTGGGGGCAGGAAATGGGCCAGCAAAGCCCCAACAAAGCACGATTGTGCCCTGCCGGGCCTGAGAACAGATCAATGGGCTATAAACAGCCACGGGAGACGCTCCGTCGCAGGGTGAACAAAGGAATTTCAGAAGAGGTTTCCGAGCTGGGTCCGGCTGGTCCCAGGTGGGGGAAGTGAAGGGTTCATTCCCACCCCAGAGCACAACAGTGAGCACAGCATCACTCCCAGCTGGGCTGGGAAAGGCAGAGACCGAGTACAAGGGCCTCTCGGCAAGGGGGACAGAGAGGCATTTGAACTCCAGAACATGGGGTGACAGCAGGACTGGGCTTGGGGCATCGCCACAAGAGGCCTCCTGCACCTTCAGGTCCAGGCAGTGCTGAGCACAGCCACCACACAGCACACGCAGCTCCTCCTGGCCCTGCCTGCCTCAGTTCTCTCACAAACAGCCTCAGACAGCAAGTTCCTGGTGAAGAGCTCGGCCAGCAGGCAGCAAGCCAGCCCCGAGGAGAGCAGGTCGGGAGGTAAACATGGCCCAGGCAGTAAAGCTGTCAGCGGGGCAGAAGGAAGCGGGACAGAGCAATGCAAAACGCTGAACTGGCTGCTGACATCAGGGCTTTGCATGAGACACAACAGATTTATCGGCCCCGGGAGGGGAAGGCCGGGCTGGGGCAGGGTGAGAAGGCTCACTGCGTGACCAGGGAAAAACAAGCCGGGAGAGAGCGATAACCCCATGCTGCAGGCAGAGTAACAGCACAGAGTGGGGCTGATCCTGCTCAGAGTTTCGTCCCACTGTGCTGGTAACACTCCTGTGGCACAAGGGGACACCGCTGGCCCTGGCCTGGTTTCAGGTACCCCAGCGCTCGCCCCCTGGCACAGAACATTCCTGCTCCTGTCCCTCGGGCCCCCACCCAGCGCTGTCACCACCCTTCTGGTTTAGATAAGGACGCTGAGGGGAAGCGGTGACGTGGCATGGGGGGGCTGGGAGGGAGGCACACGGCAACACAGCCTGGCATTTCAGTGCTTCCTCCACCCTTCTGACCATCACCCCTCCCCAGCCATGCCAAGTGGGCTTTCTTGAAAACGTCAGGGGCAGAAAAATGCTCTGAGTCAGGGTTTCGGACAGGTGACAATGTGGAAGAAGACACTGAGGCCCAGGACTCACAGAAGTTTAATCTGGCTGTGCCTGTACAAAGCAAGAGTTCTCATTCTCTACACCTCTGAGCTCCACAATGGATGCAGGGCCAGGATGTCTGCCTTCCCTGGTCCACTTTCCTGCTGCACAGCCCCAGGATGGTGCACTCAGGCTCTCATGGTGATAACATGTTGGTGAGGTGCTGAGGTCTCTAGCAAACCAGTCTGGGTTCACAAAGAGCAAGAGGAGATGGAAGTAGGAGGGCAGGTTCCTCCTCGCCCTGCAGTCAGCCCACCCTACCCCATATCACTCAGGTCCAAATGTACAGCAGAGAGCAGATCTCTTCTGTTTCCATGCCCACAAAGAAATCAAACCTAAAGCGACACGTGTGGCGGATAAAGCCATGAGGGTTTCGTGCTGCCAGGGCCAGAATAGATTGAGAGCTGGTGCGTTTCACACATTCCATCTCCAAACCATTACCCCAACCCCATCAGCTATGGAGGACAGGGTCCGGCTGCAGTCCTGGAGACAGCAGGGGTGGGCAAACCCTGACAGCTCTGCAGAGCCCAGGGAGGGTGACGTGCATCAGTAGAGGCGGAGAACAGCCCGAGCACAGCCAGGTGCAGGACGGGGTGTGGGCGGAGGTGTGCAGGTGACAGAGGAACCCCGGCACAGTGCTCTGTGCACAGCCCAGCTGGGGGTCCTTCAGCGCGGAACCGACGGCTCCATTAACTCTTCTCGGGCCGGTTCCTGTTCAGCACCGCCCGAGGGGCAAACTCCAACTTGTCCTTGAGGCTCACCACCTCGGTCAGGTCCTTGCCCGCAATCTCCTGCAGTTTTCGATCCTCCCTCCGTTCCGAGATGCTTTTCTCCTCCTCCTCGGCCGGCGGCGGGCTGGGGCCGCGGATGAGCCGCTCCAGGTGGTAACCGACGGCACCCACCACGAAGGCCACGGGGAAGGTGACGTAGGGCGCGTGGGTTCGCACGGCGCTCCACAGCACGGACCACATGGCGGCACCGAGACGGGCGGCCGGGCCCGACGAGCCCCGCTTGGGCCCTACGCCGCGGTGCCCGGAGCCCGGAGGCTTCCCGAGGCCGCACCGCGAGCTACGCTGCGGCCTACAGGAGCGGGCAGCGCTCACCGGTGCCCCGGAGCGGCTGCGGGACGCGGAGCTCCGCGCTGGGCCGCGCTCACACGGGCCCGGCCGCCGCCGCCGCCGCTACTTCCGGTGCCGGGGCCGCGCGTGGCGGTGTGTGCTGCCACCTGGCGGGCAGAGCGGGGGGGAGACGGGGGGAGACGCGGAGACGCGGGTGGGAGCTGCGGGGGGAAAGTGGGGCAGCAGAGCCGAAGTGATTTGTGAATCAAACTCGCTCACCCACGTAAGGTGATAAGAGCAGGACGTCTTTGTTTCGGCGCTGCGCCACACGCCGGGTGCAAGGGGGATCGCTCCTCCTAGCTTGCGCACCGGAGAAAAGGATCCCAATACATCTATCAGCCCATCCGTACATATTCAGAAGTGTTACCCAAGACTCATTAACATATTCATTACTTTTCCGGGAATTCATTTACATACAGTCCCCCTCCCCGGTGCATGCGCAGAAGCTTCTATTGGATGCGGGCTCGACGTCTGGTGGTCGTTCCGGGATGAAGTCAGACGTCTTCCTCGCCGCGTCCTTCCAACCTTTCTCCCAGTTTTGAGCTCTTCTCCCGCCCTGCATACCTCAGCAATTTCTAATTCTGCCCATCTTTCCTCCCCCGTGCTTTCTTAGGGGCCCTTTCCTGCCGGCTGGAGAAGGCTCCCTTTTGAGAATGTGTCTGGGCTAGCAGAAGGTTAAGCAATGAGTTCCCCTTGAGCTAGCAAGAGGTTAAATTAAGCGATGCTATTAGCGAATTTCTTTTGAGTTAGCAAAACCAGGCGATGTTACGGACCCCTTACATCTTGTGTTCTTCAGCTTATTATCTCATCCTGCTTGTTACATTCTTGGCTTCCTTTACAGCCGGGCCATGTTTACCCTTCATCCCCTAACTCAGAAGGGAGAGCAGTGGTGGAGAGAGCTGTGCAGTCAGATGTGGGATGGATGGAAGCGGGGGGAGCTCCAGGCAGAGGGAGAGGCGGGGGTGGGCAGCACGTGGGGTGAAACCGTGCCAGGAGACCTCGAGGGAAGAGCTGTGCAGGGAGACACACGCAGCCTGTGCTGGGGTGCCTGGTGCTGCGGTGCACCTGCCGCAGGCAGCCTGCTTTAGAGTTCCCTTCCAATCCCTACAGTTCTGTAAGTCTGTGATTTCTCGCCCCCACGGATCATGAACCCCCCTCCATGCCCACCCCACAGACCCCCATTCCGTGCCCACCCCACGCACACGAAGGCACACACAGAGCAGGGAAAGGCGAGCCGGGCGCCAGCCGTGTCCCCATGGGGAGGTGGCCGCTGCCCCGGAGTAACCAAAGTGGTTCTTTTTATTAATTTTGGAGGTTTGTTACAATAAAAACGGAGCCACGTGTCACGGTCACTGTACAGTGCTGGAAGGGCCGGAGGTCTCGGGGGAGCTCAGGGTGTCCCTGTGCAGGCACAGCTCTAAAGCTACGGTGTGGTGGTGGCAAGACTGGGCTGTGGGGTGACTGGGGCTGGGAGCTCCATCCCCATGCCCTCCCTCCATCATCCTTCGCAATGCCTGATTCCTACTGCCCCCCAAAGAAGTGACACCTGGGCCTTTAGCGCCGCTTCTCACCAGGGCACAAAGCCCCCCCCAGAATCATTGCCCTGCTCTTGAGACCCTCCCAAGCCTCCACTGTGAGGGGACACAAGCTGAAGCCTCCCGCTCCCAAATCCTGAAGAGCTGGCTGTGGGTTTGGGGAGGTGCCTGGCACCTATAGGAACTCGAGGCACCGACGTCCACTCCCCCTGCCACCCACCCATGGGAAGAAGGGGACTTGGGGATGGCAGCCCTTGGAGGGGTCACAGTGCAGGCAGATTCCCTGGGCATGGGGGTGGTGGGAGCAGGCAGCTGGGGCTGCTCCCCATGGCAGCCCCTCACCGAGGGCCAGCAGCACGGATGTGCTGTGCACCTGCCCTGTATGGGCTGTGCTCGGAATGGGGATGGGATGGATGCAGCCTCATCTCCAGATCCCCTATGGAAGCTGCCATCAAGGAACTCGTGGCTTCATGGAATTCCTGTAGCATAAATGCTGCATCCCAGGCTGTCCCCTCTCCCCATGGGGCACCGAGGGCTCAACACCACCATCCATGGTGTCCCATCCTTGCAGGGCACTGACAGCTCAGAGAGAAGGCGTAACCCTGTGAGGAATTTCCAGCAGCCCCGCACTCAGGGGGAAGCTCCTGCCCCACATCTACAGCCCGGTCCCCATGTGCAGGGGACACCGAGGCCAGCCCCGGCCAGCAGCCATACCTGCTCTGTCCCTGCACTAAAGTCCTGCATAAGCATAGGAAGGTCTCCCCAGCACTGCTGCCTTGCTCACGCACCTGTGCCCAGGCTGCAAGATGCAAGGGAACCGACTGCCCTGTCCCCTTGGTGTTCCCATGCAACTGACTGGGAAAAGTGGCAGGATGGGCTTGGAGGGCACGGTGCTGCTGCTCAGTGTGGGAGATGCAGGTTCAGCTCACTGGGGCCAGGGGACCTGCTGCTCTGGTCCAACCCGCCCTCCAGAACACAGCTCTGGTCGTGTGTAGTTTCTGTTTTATTCCTTAGGTAATATTTATATATGGATATAGGTTGAGGACTCCTGGGTTCCCCACAGCACCGGGGCAGGAGGCAGGGAGCGGAGCGGGGCTCCAGCTGGGCATGGGGCTGAGGGCTCAGGGGTTCATCCCCGCAGCCATGGGATTGCACTGAGTTACAGAGAAGTGGGGGGGCCTGCCTGCGGCCCCATCCCCTCCTACCCGGCAGGGCCGGGGGCTGGGGTCACCTCTCCTTTGGATGGGATAGGGACCAAGGGGGGGTCAAGGGATAGAAGAGCTGAGACACGGCCCCAAATAGGGCAGGGGGAAGGAAGAGCCCTGGACCCTGGGAGAGACGGGCAGGGGCATGCGAGCAGGGGGCAACGGGATGGGGCAAAACCGGGTTGGTGCTCATTCACCGTCGGATCCATGAAACGTCTACGATAGAAAAGAGAGAAGCTGTGAGTGGGCCAAGCGCTGCCCCCAGGGTGTCCCCACGGCCCCTGATCACAGTGAGCGATGGACGCGCCGTCCAGTCCGGGTAGAAAAGCCGAGGCCGCGGTCACAGCCGGGTCTGCGCCTCGGGGATGTAGATCTCAATGCTGTCTGCGCTCTCAGTGGCCGAGTTCTGGCGGAAGGAGGCGGCGCGTTTGGCTGCCAGGAGCCGCTTGCGTGCCTCCTGCCGCTGCCGGTCCACCGAGTCCAGGGAGCGCTCCTTCACCGGGTGCACCTTGGAGCGCGGCGGCTTCTTTGGTATCGGGGGAGGCACCTTCTTCTCCTCCTGCACAGACAGTGGCAGAGCCTTAGGGTGAGCGTGGGACCGGCCCTGAGCCTCCTTTCCCCCCCTGCCAAAGTCAGAGCGATGAGATGAGGCTGTGCTGTGCATCCCTCCGCGCAGCTGCACGTGTGCAGGATCGTGCCTGGCCCTTGGCACACGGCACTGCCCAGAATCCAGCTGCAATATCACAGCAGAGGAATGGCCTCATTTTTTCCTGTTCTTTGTTTTTCAAGTGTTTGCTAAAAGCACCCGCTGGCTCTGCTGGCGGTAACTCTACAGCAGTGGTTTGGCCACAGATGTGCTTGGGGATGAAGAGGAAAGGAGGGATGTGCACAGCACCAGCCCTGCGCACCCCTAGCGAGCCCTGCCCTTACCTTGGGCTCAATGATCTTCCACCCGTTGGCCTTGAGCTGCTGGAGCTCTGCAAACTTCATGCTGACATCCTCAATGGAGAGCTGCAGCAAGTCCCAGAAGCCAGCCAGGTCTTGGAAGGTGGGCACAGGGAATGCGTTGGGATCCTGTGGAGACAGTGAGGGACCACATTGGTCACATTTCACGTGCAGGACACCCACTGTGCTGGCATCACCCCACCAGCCACGGGCTCAGCACACCCCAGGATGGTGTTCAGGCACTCACCATGTTCTGCTGGCAGAGTCGGTAAAACTGCTGCACCTTCTGGGACATGAGGAGCTGAGCACTGCCCACAGCGCTCCGGATCTTCTCCAGGACTGGCGGTACCGGGCAGAAAGCACACAGTCATATCTCCTACAGGGACACAGGCATCCCCTCCCCACCACTCACTGAGGGCCCTGCTCCACCATTTGGGATCCCCAGACATGTCTACACTGATCCCAACTTCTTGACCCTCCCTGAGCCAGGTGGCACCACCAAGATGCTCCAAGAGTGAGAGCAGTGCGGTGCAGCCCTGGGTACCCGGCCCCACTCACTCTCCTCCGGCAGGTCGTAGTCCTCGGCCTCCCGCTCCATCTGCTGGCACCAGCCCTCCATCTTCTCCACCTCAGCCTGCAGCAGTTTGATGAACCATTCCCCATCGCGGTGGCAGGGGGAGGCACGGCCGGAGTCAGGCAGGCTGCGGGAGCCCCGCTCCACCCATGCATCACGGCGTGGCACCTCCACTGCATCGTACTGCATCTGGTAGTCCTCCCGGTATGCCCACTGGCCCTGCGTGTGCACCGTTTTGTACACTGCATACTGCCGGCCGGACTCGGGCTCCGAGGAGTGCCGCTGGAAGGGGCGGCCAAACTGCAGAGCTTTGTCCTCGGTGGCCACGGCCAGCCCGGCGAAGCCCTCCAGCTCCAGGTCTGCCTGCACACCCGCCGTCACGCTGTTGGAGCGCTTGAAGCGGGCACGCCTGGGACAGAGAGAGCATGTGGGGTTGTTGTGGTGAGGATGCTGGGAGCTACGGGGCCAGCGAGGACATCCCTACCATTCCTGTCTCCCTGTGGGCACCATCCTGGGGCTGGGGACACCCAGTGTTTGGGGCTGCAGGGACAGCCCTGAGCAGCTGCATCTTTCCTGTCCCTCATTTCCTGTGCTCTTAGCCCGTTTCCATGGCTACCGGTGCTGGACGATGCTGGAGGATGCAGAGCAGTGTGCACCAGGGTGGGTGGGCACGCTCCCAGTGCTCATCTCCTCATACACCATGCAGGTCCCAGCACACAGCACGCCCACCCCATGCAAAAATTCATGTTTTGTTGCAGAAAAGCCCAGAATTTTCATCCACATCTGTGCAGGTTG